TTTATGTACATTATACATGTAGGTATTGAGTCAGAGTGTTGCAACTGCATTAAGACTGCACATAGGAGAAGAAGCAGAAGAAACAGCTATATTCTTAGAAATGTTTGACAAGTTTTTTGATTCTTTAAATGTCACCAACTACACGACATGTATCACAAAGAGGAAATATTTTCTCACAGTATACAGGTCGCCAAATGATTTCAGACTACAGGTAATACTAATTCTTTCATTTGAAAACTTGCATTTAAAAGTATATACATGTATTTTGTATTATTAGTGGCTTGAAAATACTTTTCTAAAATGGCTGGGAGATTGGCAGAAAGAAGCAGAACTAAGAGAAGACTTGAGCAAGAGTAATCGAAAAAAATTGACACTAAGTGAAGAAACCTTGCTAGGAATTAAAATTACAAGTAAGAATAAGGGGATTACAAAATTAAAGTAATAATTAATTTGAAATTGTAGCTCACTCATTTATTGACCTCATTAAGTTTATATTCACAATTCCTGGAGTGAAGTCATTTTTAAGTGAGAGGTTGTCCCAGGACCCACTTGAGAAGTTCTTTGGGAGGCAGAGACAGAGAGGCAGGGCCAATAAAAACCCTACTAGCAGTGAGTTTTTAAAAAACAATCGGGCACTACGGCTAGTAAACTCAATCACAATTGAGACTCACAAGGGAAATACGAGAGGAAAAGAAGAGGACTTGACAACCTATGTCTCAACAAAACCATTGGAAAGAAAAAGAAAGAGCAAAGCAGGTAATGTGAATACATATGATAATTGATAGTTTAAACTTATGCTCTCATATACAGTATGCAATGATGAGGGCCAACAAACAAAAAAGAAAAAAACTTCAGGTAAATACAATTATACCTTATGATAAACTCCTCTTCTTTAGAAATATCACTTGAGCTTGTTTTGGATCAAGATGAAGTACAATCCAGAGAAATAGATCTACTAAGTAAAGAAAAATAGCAATCTAATCATGATAATGCATCTACAACATTGCAGATATCATCTCTGACACTATTGACAATGGTTTCAATGTCTCTTCAACTGAAGCAAGTAAGGCTAAAGAGAATGCTTTACAGTTGAAAGAATGGATGGAAAAAAATCCAGAGTACCTCTTATTTGATCAGTATCTGTCTCAGCTGTTTGCTCTCTGGATATCTGTACCACCAACAACATCATTAATTCGTGAACAAATCTGGAACAGATTTATGTCCTTCATTTCTTCAAATCAGTACACCCTTTTCTGGAAAAACCTCCATTTAAAAGCTGGAACGACACATTCACCAATCTTGTCATTTCACTTGACATATTCATACTTCACCTTCACACTGAAGTTAAAATATCCCACCACAATTTCCTCCATCGAAATGTCCAGGAGTCCTGAAACGTCTCATCTACAATATGATGAAGAGAATGCAATATGGTATATTGGGGGATATATAATAAGGCAAATAAAGAAGAGGTCCCAATACACACACTTACATGACATGATTGATAGTTTTCTAGAAGCAGAGTCTGATGATGATGATGATGTGGGCGGTGATATCAAAGACAGTCAAGATCATGCTCAACAATGGCTGAACTTAATAAATCGAGGTGGCTTGCTAAAGTGTAGCAATGATTTTTATCAGCTCTTACGGTGTGTTGAGTTTGAAATGAAGGCAATACTTCCACCAACAAGTAGCAACATTGGAGAGCTAGGAGTATTAAGTAAGACCATTGCCGAAAAAGAGACAGTTCTGGAGATGTGGAAAATCTTACAAAATTACGACACTGAAAACACAGATAAACTGAAGGAAGAAATCATATCCATCTACATTAAAATTCGCATCAAGGCATATCTCATGAAATCAATGGAGGCACTGAAAAAAGCAAAGGAGAAGAAAAATATACAAAAAAGTCTAAGTTTTAGATCAGCAATAAATAACTCATAATAAATAATGACTATTCTAAACTTACTATCAACATATCTATCATTATCAGTGTTATTATCAGTGTGCTGCTATGCTATGATCGCTATAACGGCTCGATCATCTACCATCTTAAACTCTCCACATGTTGTAAAATTGAAAATAATCCTTTATTTTAAAATTATTACGGTAGCATTGTGGTAACTAGCATTTCTTGCCGCGAACGGAAGTTTCCTATCCCTTTCATTTACTCTACCGTGATTTTCAGGTTGCTTGACCCAATTTTCTTACTTCCTGCTCACGTGACATGTATTATTAGTATGGGGAAAGTCACGTGATTACGAGTTTGCAAGGTCAAGCAACCTGCAAAGCACGGTAATATCTATGCCTGTATACTCTATTATCTATGGCCACACCTTCATTGCAGCCACACCTTTACATTGCTGCAGCAGTGCAGCAAGCATGCTGGAGCTTCTTCTCTGTCTAAAAACAAAAA